TTCTGTCTCTTGAGCCTTTCTCTCACATACTTTATGCACCAAATGCATCTTGTATTTTGCAATCTAGAAGAGATGAGAGGGAAGCAGTGAGAGTATTAACCTATATGGGGCTTCCAGCTGCACAGAGACATTGAAGTAGCAGAGAGCTGTTGGGTGTACCGATGGATACAGTGTGTGCAGGAGCTGACTAGAGGGCATGATGTCTGCATTAGATGACAAGGTCCTCTCCACACCTGAGCCAGCACACAATTCAATACCCTTCAGTCATCACTCGGCTTCCAATTTAAAATGTATCGACTAGAATCCAGTAGAGTACAAGCACTCACAGACACTAATGTCCTCCAGCTATGAGAAATTCTTGTCTAATGTACTGTCATAGAAGCTCTTAAAGAAACGTGGACATGAAAATGATTGTGTCACGGCAAGTCCTCTGGCCCTCTGATCACTGGGCATAATAAACACTTTCTCAGTGTTTGTATGTGATCTTTTACTTGCTTTGGTGTGACAAGATGTGTTTGATCTCCAGGTAGATGCTGCAGAGGGAAGGAAATACATTAAAGAGACAGCAATGAGGGTAAGAACATGGGAGACTGGTCGTGCAGAAGGGTTGGTGTCATTGGCATTTTTTTTACACTAAATACACCTGCTGCGTGAAAGCCTAGAAACAACAGGTGGAAGTATTGTTTATTTATATATTTATTTTTATATTATATAATGTATATTATATTATAATAATAATATTTCAAAACCATTATTCATATTTCCATGCATTACACATTTAAATACTTCATGCTAATGTTAATGAAATGACTATGTTCAAATTTAAATACAATTTTTATTTAAGGTCATAGACATCATCCCCAAGGTATAATCCAATAAACAGCAACACAGGCATTTACAATTGAAGGACAAATAATTCACTTTTACAATAACAAATCGAAGGTGTTTTGCCTCTTGAAGATACGTTTCACTACCTGTTGCCTTTAAATTTGGACAGCAGACAACAAACCAAACACTCAATTCAACAATATTTTTATATTAGTACCTTAAATAAAATATGTCAGCACTGGTGGTCATTAAATTGTGATGATATTCTGTTGATTCACAGTCCGATATCCTTTTCCATGTTTTCCAAACTGGATACTAAGACCTTCATCATGACCAACAAAACTAGTCTTTTATTAAATGTACTGTGTAGGAAATTAATACACTAATAATACTATTGACTTCACTGAACATTTGAAGACTAAAATACTTTCTTTGAATTTGAACATCACCAGAATAAATCAATTTACTCAGTTAATACTGACCAGATTGCCAGCCTAAGTGCAACATAAGGACGTCTACAATACTGTGACTGAACATAAACAATTGTATTTAATGGGAAAGACACTGTACTTTTCTCACAAAAAATGGAAATAGATGGACCCGGTAAATTTTATTTTTAATAACATTACTGTTAAAAACATGGGAATTACTTCTGAAAGTTTTATCTCTCTCTCTGACTCTCATCTTCATACGCTTATACGGGGTCGGTTCGCGGGGTAGCAAGTCCAGCAGAGGACCCCAAACCTCCCTTTCCCAGGCCACATCGGCCAACTCTGACTGGGCTGGGGGATCCCGAAGCGTTCCCAGGCCAGTGTTGAGATATAATCTCTCCACCTGGTCCTCGGTCTGCCCCGTGGCCTCCTCCCAGCTGGACGTGCCAGGAACACCTTCCTCAGGTGTGAAAGTTTTATTGTGACTTTTATACATTTTATTAGATATTAGCTTTATGTGACTATCTATTGGTGAAGTTGATTTTGGTGTAAACATCTGACCAGAATAGCTGGTTTTAAAAGTAATATAGATAAAATATAACTGCCACACTGAAAATTAAGAATATTTTAGTCAATAGACATTAAATATTTATATGAAGTCCATCTGTCTTTGTTTATGATAACCTACTGTACATTGTAAACATAAACGATGGCAGGTGATATTAATATACTAACGAAGAAAGAGTTCAGTAACAATGCACACAAAGACAAATTCTGCCTGCAATATCTTAAAAACCAAAATAAAACATAAAAGGCAAGTCCTGTTCAGATAGACTAAAAGCATTCCTTGCTCCTGTTAACTAAGGCAGTCTTCATGAACACCTGAACAATCCCTGTAATGCAGCACACTCTCCAGGCATAGATATAGTTTTTGTGTGCTTCATCCTCACAACTCCACAGGGTAAAGACAAAGCACTACACAAGCAGCTACTGTTAAGTTACATCACTATCAAAATGCTGTCGGTGAACATTTTGGTGCTAAGTTCTCGGTAGCCTACATGCTACAGTGTTTTTCAGTGTTTCTGTACTAAACATGTTACGATTTTGTGTTCCTGTTGACTCGTCATTAGGGTGTCTCTCTACAATAAAAGTGCCAAATTTTAACTGGCAACATTTATTAAGAACTCCTAAAAGCCTGATTTGAGTATGTTTTTTGAAAATATTTTTTTAATAGGCATCATGATACCCATTTTTTTGTTGTTGGGTGTTTTTAAGTAGGAGCATGACTTGCTTGTCTTATTAAATGTTTACCCATTGTAAACTGTAAGCTACATTTGTGAGAGTAAGGGCCAGTTTCCTAGACAGGATTAAAGCCTAAATTATGTCTTAAATAAACTAAAGTGGCCTTTTCAACCATATTAACAGGTTTTTCAGAAATGGTTCTGAATAGTCCTTCATTTTAAGCAGTCGGGGGTTTGGCCATTAATTAAAACTCCAGTTTGGAAGTTTCAATGCTTTCATTGCTTTGTCTGTTTTTATGATTTAGATTCCACTATATTATTTGATATTTGTGAGCAGTTCAGCTTTTATGAGCACCTTCATTCCAGTTCAAACGAGGACCATACAGGTGATTGATATTAATCTCTTTAGTGAGAGTGCGCTCTCACCAGAGCACTAACAGCTGACTCAAATTAAGATGGTTAGTCCAGAACTTTTTCAAATTTAAACATAATCTTTAATTCAAATCCTGTTTCCTGTCCAGGAAACTGCGCCTTTAAATTTGCTACGATAATATTAGCTTGCTATGTTACCGCTACTAGAGTAAAATCTAGGCTACTCAATCATCAAGCTGTTACCAGAATTTGTGCTTCTTTTTTTTTGTAATGTTTCAATTGCATAATAATTTTATATTCTCCACAAGATGATAGTTGGTTCCAGGTTTTAATCTGAGCCTTATTTTTCTCTTCAAAATGTTAAGATCCTAACCTTTTAGTCAAGACACATAGCTTTGGGGTGCTGGCAAGAGATGGTGTTGAGTTATGCCCGTAAGACCAAAGAGAGCTGCTGTCACTGAGGTCTTGTCTATCCCCTAAGTATAATTATGCCACTGCACAGGTTCAAAATTTCTTTTCTCTTTACCTCAAGAGCTTAAGCCCCACACTCAGACACAAGTTCAAATTTTAGATTTTAGTCCTTATAGAAAGCATGTGATGACCCTGTATTGATTTAAAGTCAGTATAACAAAGGCATTTGCCATGTTTAATGGCTGTTTCAAGAAACTCTGAACGATACATTAGCTCATTAACTGCAATTAGCTGGGTTTCTCCTAATACGTTTTTTTTTTTAAGCTCTGCCATCTGGACATGAGGCCACCCACTGTGGCACACACTGTGTTATCTTTGGGGACCTCAGGGTGTATTCTCTCCCTTTCAATTATCAGGCATCAGGGTCTCCTGGTGCATCCACATAACCATGCCAGTATGAATGGTATAGAATATAGCTTTTGAAATGATAAATCATTTCACAAATTAGGCATCAATTTGAACTGAATGAAAAATATGAAATTAGTTCAACTTTCTTGAACTGTTCTTATTTACACAATATAAATAAGTGAAACTTAAAATAGTAATTTAAGTGAAGTTTAAAAGACTTCAAGGCTAGGAAATGCACCTTACCTTTTTGCAGAGAATTCTTGCAGAAAAATGAATGCCTTCTGTGGGGGGCTACCTCCCAAAATGTCACCTGCTGGTGCTACACAGGTTGGCAAAATCTAGTTTAAAGTATTATTACATTAAGTACATAAAAGTATATGTCTGTACTGAATATTTTATTATGATAATCCGATAACAATTGCTTGTCATTACCATGAGGTAGCCAGGAAACCAACAGAGACTCCAGGAAGTCACTGTGCCCAGCTAAGAGCTTCAGTTGTAAACATATAGATTAGTAGCTCATTAATTTTAAAATTGACAACACTGATTCAGATTGATTGAAGCAGTACAAAGGTCAGTTTTTTCTCATCAGTTCTCTAAATGAACAATTTCTTCTTTTACATATGACAGATTCACTGTCATATGTGTATTTAACTTTAAATTAGTGCACCGTTGCCAGCAAAACTGTCACATACATTTCCTCAGAGATGTTGACTCACTGGTGTCAGACAGCAAGAAGGAACTGAGTTAAAAGAATTGGTCCTCCTAGCGCAAGGTGTTTGGCCTTGTCAACGACCCATCATGAGCTTTGTGAGGAGCAATCTGAAAAGTCGGATGAACCGGAGCTGTGGCGTTAGCCTCAGGGGAGTGTTAGGCTGTTGCCCTGTCCCTGCTGCTGATCTGTCTGACTGGCCTTAAAACAACAGTCTCAGAAAGTGCAATTCCCCAAAGCTAGGTCTTCATGATTTCCTTCATGACATAGGTATTTTTATACATAATTGTTTGTTAGTATGCCACTGTATGATCAGGGAAATCAGTGTGGGTTCAAGCTTTCTCCACAACGTCCATGGAGAATGTGAAAAGTCTCCATGAAACTCCCCTGCAACTGAGGTATAGATTTAGACTTTGACTGAATACTATTGGATATGTAAGCTACTTCCACAAAATAGTTCTGAAATGTTAAATCTATCATATCAAAGATCATACAACAAAGATAACAATTACTTCATTACAAAAAATATAGACTAGTAACATTTAGGATCAACTATCCATTAAATTCTAAAATATAGTTTAACTGAGACAGCATAGGGTTGCACAGTGACAGGATGTTCATCTCCCAGTTAGAAAACAGCGATAAGCTTCACTGTTTCTTTTTTTCTTTTCATTTTGGTATAATTACTGAACAAACAATAACATTGGAAAAAATTCAAATATTGTAAACATTGTAAACATCGTACCAGTACAAAAGCACATGTTGCAAGACGTGGTCGGAAAACACCAATACAGCAGCGCTGACAGCTTTTACTCTTCCTCCATTGACTTCTCAATCTCCTTCAGCCTGCGGACAAACTCCTGAGCCTCCCTGTCTCCGATGCGAGCGTCCAGCATCCTCATGATTGGTTTCTCTGGAGGGGAGAGCAAACAAATGAGAGTAGTTCCTACACCTGACACAAATATCTCTAGATTGAATGGCTTTTCATGTTGTATTGGAGAAGTAATTGGAAACCCAGACCCACACCGTCTGGTCTCCCAAGAACAAGCCAATATTATGTTTGCGTAAAACAAAAAACTGGATACAGCCTGGAGCTATATGTACCACTGGGTTTACTGCGAGACAGGTGGAGAATGACAGGCTGGACACTCTTGCCAGCTGGTGAGGCATTTGGTCTCCCTGGCCAGCAGAAGTCGCTGAGAGGAGCCACAGCTTCACCGGCGAAGTCGTTAGTGGAAAGCCAGTCATAGTCCATCACAGTGAAGGTCAAACAGGCAAACCTGTGTCTGTACTGTTCAGGACTGACGTGGCTGGAAGACACAGGAAACAAAAAGAATCGGGCTTAGGGAATGCACAAACAGGACAATCTGGTCATCCCTCGTCAAAGTCAAAATAGGAGGCTGTAGGAAAGTCAGGTAACATAGTTTAATGTACGAGTTATGTTAGGTACATTACGTAGGTTATGTTTTATTCATGTACTTAAGTTACTTCAGGTATGTAAAGTAAGTTACAACCTTTTCCTAATCCTAACCAAGTTTTGTGCCTTAACCTAACCAAACTGCAACAGTTTCACAATATTACTTTGCATTGCTTTATTTTGAAAGTATTTAGAACTGTATGCTGCATATTTATTATTACTAACTTCACCGGAAGTTGGGGCCTTGACCAAGTTGAGGTATTTGACAAGTTAGGAGTGAGAATGTGTTGCAACAATAGAAAGAGGAAGAGAGCAAAATAGTACTCACAAATAAAAAAGTTCGTCGAATACTGGGTGCAGTGTCTTAAGTTTCACTTGCGTGCGTTGACTCTTGGCCATAGGGAACAGGTGGTGAGGACAGAGCTCCACTATGACAAATGGGTCACTCAGACCTGAGGAGGACCAGAAAGAGTTAATGAAAAGTCAACTTTAAAACAACAAGCTGTATTTTACTCTGACTTTACAGTTTTACCATTGGCATCCAGTGCAATGATATCTGCAGCGTGCAGAATCTCTACCGTCAGTCTCTGCTCTGGAGCATCATAGTAGCACTTCACACTGATCCGACCGTAACGGGTATGTTTGAGTGTTTTCTGAAACATTAAACACAGTTTATATTATTATAATTACCATGTAAAGTTGCAGTAACAGTGAAATTATTATATAATATGATGTAAACGCACAACTGATTTTTATTTATTTTTTCTCAGCCAAAACAAAGTGAAGGAATTATTCCTTATTCCCTCACACACACATAAAACCAAAATTACATATTCAGCATATTTCAGTCTACTTTCTGCATCATCTGACAGCATCTTGACTCCCGGAGAAGGCAGATTTTTAATCAGAGTTAAAACAATAGAATACAGGGTGTTGTGCTGTCCAATCAAAACACCTCTGTTCACTTTACGGCTAAATGAAATTGCCAGCCTGGTAAGTTGAACACACCTGTTGGGAAATCTTCTCCAGATAGTACTGTTCAATCAACTCAAAGGAAGAGCATTTATTCAGCCTGAGCTCCTCATCCAGGACCTAAAGCAGCAAGAGTACAGTCAGAAAGGGAAAAAGATAAATTACACTTTAATGTAGGTAGGAGAACATAAATGCTAAAACAAAAAGGCAAGAAGTCCTACCTTATAGTCTCCACTCTTCATGTCTTCCAGGGAAAGACCCTCCCCCTTAGCATGGAGGAACTGCAGCAAGGTCTAAAGCAATAAAGTAAAACAAATTATATATGAGTGAGGTCAGAGTCATCGCATTCATCCCTCTAATTTTGATAGAATGAAGTCTCAGCATAGTAGAAAGACGTGTTGTTCACACAAACAGCATGAAACCTCTGGCAGGCAAACACAATATCTGTCTGCCAAGCTCCAAACTCAGCCCACTCGTGTAGCATGCCATGACTTTTCATGCAAATCTGTCACATCCCCTGCCAGCTGGTTAAATTGGCATTAGAATATACAGTAGCTCTCATATTGTCATTCATGAGGGAACTAATTCTGCCGCTGAACTATTACCTAGTCACTACATAAATATCTAATATATGCTAATGATTGCATGACAGCAAGCATACAGAGCTAATTAAAGGATGATGGGATGACAGTCTTTACAGAGTTGACAAGTCTTTTTAGGCAGACTACTCTTCTTAGCGGCAAAACTATACCAGACTGGACATATAGTATAGACAGCTATAGTATATAGTATTTTGTGATAGAATGCAAAAATCACTGACCTCCACTGTGTACTGGAACCGGTTGTAGAACTCCACCTGAACGCCCCTGTTTTCTGCAACCGCATCCAGGATCATTCGCAGGAGCAGCTCCCACATGCTTTGAAGAACTCTACGAGGCAGCAGACACAATGAGACACCTCACGTTTACCAGCTCTTCCAATTACACCCCTGTACCCTCACTTAGCTTCATGTATGTTTGTCACAGATAATAGCTTGATAGTTATGATGTAGCACAAAACATATCTGAGGGGTATTATTATTGTTACATTCAATGACACACTCGCAACATCTTACTTGCTGAGCTTTCACCTGGTACTAAATAAATTAAATCTTATTTAGAGAAGATGAACCAGTGATGTAACTTGACATTAGGATATGTCTGTTATAAAGTTCAAGTTGTATATATACATATTTAGAGAATAGGGTACAGATAGGAGCCCTATGCTAAATATCAATTTTATTTCGAGCCAGCTCACCAAAACATGCATCAGTCTTAATGTAAAAAAATAAATCATTACTATATTATTATTATAATATAATAAAATACTGCCACTGGGAGGCAGTCAGGAATTTTCTCATTTTACACAGTGGTTTTAATGGACGTGGAGTTGGACATGTGCTACATGTGCTTGTTGTGAGTTTATGTTGTGAATTGTTTTTGTGTTTTTAATTTTGTACTGAATGTTTTCTTTTGAACTTTTATCATTAGCTGCATAGGAACACCAAATGGAAATTAGCAATTAGGCAGAATGTGACGCAATTAAAAATCGTTATTAAAATTAATTTATATTGTCCCTGTCAAACAGAAAATAAATGAAGTCATATTTTTAGTGAGGAGAGAAGAAGAGAAAGTAATTACCTAGTCAGATTCTCCTTTACAAGGTTTTGAGTGAGGATGACCATTGTGTCTTGTAAGTACTTCATAAGAGGGGCCACAGCCTGGAAAAATGTCACATTTATATATATTACATATGTACTGTGGCTGCAAACACCACTGATACAAAACCTTTACTAGGCCTTACCTCATCATTGTTGATGGAGTCTGGAGACAGGCTGATGTGTTGGATGTACCTCCGCAGCTCAGGCAGCATCTGCACAGAAATATTCTCTCATTCACGTGCATGTGCGTGGGTGCATATTGTAAGTAAGTAAGTTTGTTTTTTTCTAACAGGTCGTCACTGCTTGTAGAAACCTCAACCTGTCAAGATTATTTTCTTAACAAATACAATAACAGTGGAGTTACAAGGTCTTCACTGGCAGTGACAAATTGATACGTGTGTGTGTGTGTGTGTGTGTGTGTACACTGTAAAACCGAATAAGTTAATTAAACTCAAAAGTAGCTTTATTTAATTTGACACTATTTATTTGTACTGTGAAAACAATACACACTAAAAAGCACTTAATCAGGAATGTTTCTTTCTGTAACTTAATAAACTAAGTTAGTGTCACTTAAAATTACTCGTAAAAGCTGCATCATCAAGAATAAAACTTAGAATTTAGTTGGTTTTCCTTAAAATTTTCGATGTAATCAGTTTCGACAATTTTTTTGATTAATTAACTTATACACTTTTACAGTGTAGCATGTCTCATTCAGTGTAGTTGATCAGCAGGTATTCATGCTCTGTGTACCTTGTCAGTGAGCAGTGTGATGAGGCGTTTGGCTTCTCTTTGTAGGTCCAGGTCCATATTGAACAACTGCCCATTGAGAGCCTTGTAAACCTGCTCTTTCCCCTCCACCCCACAGGACTCCTCCATTGCCCGCTCCACACCTTGCCAGTCCAGGTCGCGGGGCAGGTGACCCAGGAAAACGCGCACATGCTCTGTGTTGTTCAGGGCAATGCAGATCTAGCAGAAAGCGAGGAGGAGCAGAAGAGGAGAAAAATAGGGTGGAGGTGGAGAAACAAAGAAGGAAAAGAAGCAGGGCTACAGAGAAGTGGAGGGATGGGGTGCGAGTGTAAATGATTGACAATGACAAGAGGCAACTGCTTTTTTTCTGAGTGTAAACATATCTGATCTCCTGCTAAGCTCTTTGTGTTGCCAGGGAGAACACTTGCTGACATTTACTTTCCACGTCATTGTGTGCCCTCCCCCAGTTCTGTTTTGCTATAGGCTTTACCTGCACTGTGAAGCTCTTGTGGTCTTGGCCCTGCTGGTTCCTCTCAATCTTGCGTGTGATCATCTCTGAGTAGCACACAGCCTCACTGCAGAAATTCTGTGATAAAATACCAGTGCTGTTATTAAACTGAATAACTTTTTTATTTTGACTCAAATGCTGGTAAAATCTTTTATTAATCCTGTGTGTGAATCTTCTAGAGTTTTATGCATGCAGGATGTATGTAGATGATTGCCGCAACACTGGTAGTGGCACTCACGTCTGTCAAACGAGTGATGAAGATGAAGGCCCCCGCAGAGTCTGGCCAGGCCAGCTGGAGCCAGATCTCGCGTACCTGGCTGAAGCACGTTGTCACTTCCACTGCTGAAGAACTGTGTTTGGCCTGTTGCACAGGCTCGAGCTAACAGTTAATACATGAATATTTTAAGAACATGTTATTCATGAAAAACAAACAAACCCAATAATAAAAAAAATTAAAACCAAACCAATTCCATTTGGATATTATGAATCATTTTACACTCTAATAATAATAAATGCTTAATTACACACTACATAACTATAAGAAACAACTACTGTATAGGGATAACTTTTATTTAGATATATTTATCAACAATCATATACAATAAACTTAAAAAAATGCCCTCATATCAGTTTACAGATGTTTATATGCTATGATAAATAAAATAAAATGCTACTACAGTAGATGTTAGTAAGTAAATACATTTATTAACTTGAATACAGTCCAGCTTATGGCTGTATGTCATCACAGACCAACTTACATTATTTTCATTGTGTTCAAATTCATCATTTCAAAAGCAGAAACCTCTCACCTTGTCTGTTTCCACAGCCTTACGAATTCTGTCACAGGATCTGTCATGAACAATCTGCAGCCACTTATGAATCGAGGACTTGAACCAGTTATGAAAGCCTGTCAAGGCCAACATTTTAGCATCCCTGTCAGAGAAGAACACAAGTCCTTTTAATAAATTCAAAGCTGAAGAAAAGGTTGAAGTCTCATCTCTTCGCTGACATTTCAAACAAATAAGCACCAGTCAAAACCGTTTACGTTTCTATATCAATAGTTATTAGAGTCGAACTGATAACCAACTTGAGCGGAAGAAACTCCCGGAAGCCTTTGAGGGTTTTCAAGGACATGAAGAGCTCAAAGATGGTCTCTCCCATTGTCTGAGTCAGTCTGGAGCTCTCCTGCTCCAAAGTCCCACAAACCCGCTCCATCGCTACATTTACATCATCAGCTACCTGAAGGAGAAAATAATTTAACTTGTGTTCAAATACCTGTGTCAAAGTGAGCAACAACAGTTGTGTATGCCTCAAAAAAGACTTTTTAATGGCATACCTGTTTCTCCAACTGCCGGTATGATATGCTGAGGAAATCTACTTTCACTGCACTGAGAACCAACCAACAGAGAATGAAGTGATATCAGTCCACAAATGCAAGTAGCATAACATTTCTACATTGTTTTTTCTTGATGAGCGATGATATTCACCTGTAGAAGAGTTTGTTGTAGATGTTCTGGGCTCTCTGCACGTCTGCACACACACCATCAACCACCTGAACCAGCTTCTTCAGCTGCTCCTCCAGAGTCTGCATTGTCAATACACAATAAAAAAACATCCTGGATATCAACTCACAAGCCAAGGTCAGCAAAATTATAAGATGTAATGATTTCTATCATTAAGACTTATTATCATCAGTACAAACGTACCCCCTCCTCTGGTTTATATCGTGCAATTAAGCTCTCGTACCACTCCGCACTTCCTTTCTGTTGAAATAATTACACAAATTAAGGAGTATAAATGGGTTGATTAAAGGTGCCCTGTGAAGTATTCGATGTTGTTTACATTCAAATTTTCTCACTAAAACACAACATGTGTATCCCTGAAAGGTTATAGTGTTGAATTAATTTACTAGTACATGAAATGCTTCATCTACAGCAGATCTCTTTCTGGTCTTCTTTTCCTCTTTTTTTAGTACTTTTCAGTACAGCACTCACGAATCTGCCTCAAGTCAGCCTTATTTTCATGATGTACATGCATGTCTGTGCTGCTTTGCAAACTATACGGGGTCCAGCTCATGAAGCCATTCTCAGTATCTCAGTACATTACCTCACATCAACTCCACGAGGTACCTTTAATTGAACTTTTTCTCAATTTCATTTTTACCTTGACGACAGTAGTGATGTCCAAATGCAGTTCATTTCGAAGGGGACATACAGTCTTAAACGCCTGCATGTTTTGCATGTAGCCAATCCCTCTGGCATACACAGACAGGAAAAAGCCAATTACAGTACAAGACAAATAAATGCTGATTTCACATCATACACTAACATATTGTTCTTCAATTTAAATAAACACAAAAGCTACAATCTCACTAAATCCATGCATCCTGCATTATCACTGCAGGAACTTTAACTATGAGTCACAGTGTGTGTGTGTGTTTCTGAGAGGTGTAGAAAAGATTTCCCTTGAGGTGTTGATCACTGGGCAGACCTGGACTTCTTACTGGAGAAGTTTCTATAAAAAACAGTCTCCTCCAAATTAATGCAACACTGGAACATGAACTTCAATAATTAGCTGATTTTACTGGCTGGCATTTATGTGGAACAGACTCCCTAATTTGGTACATTTCACTGCTCTAACTTTGTTCTTTTGTGCAATGGTAATTCGAAGCCAAAGGATGGTGATTCCAGTCACTCTGTCCAAGACTCTTATGAGAGCAGAAAATCTCAATTAGAAAATATCAAATTTAATACAGATATCCATGGTCTTTTATGGATTGTTTCTCATGCTTTTATGGTTAAAGTGTCCCCTAGATTGAGACATTGGTCAATGACGATGTGTCATCAATGCCTGGATTTCCATGAAATTCACTGTGGATATTCATGTCCTCCAATGATGAATGCTTATGATTTAGTAATATCTTCAAGCTAAACGTTCCACATGTACACAGGCAATATCATAATACCATGAGTATATGGCCCTCATACCAGTATATGACAGGATCTGGTTACTGATTGTACTGGTAAAGTGGAAGCACAATTTCATATATGGAATAATACATTAAAGTAAAAACATGTAAGTTGTTTGCTGCTTATGACCACAATATGTCACTGTAATTACCAGCTATTTGTCAGGTTTTATACAACAAAATGTGTGGTCAGGAACAAATAATACTTTATTTTGAAATGAGTAATGAGCAATGATTAATATATATCTGTTTGAGTAAGGAACCCAACACTGCTTCCGCCACAGACTCACTGGTTGAAGCCTCTCTGTGTCTGGTGGGGTGAAAGGTTGAGCGTTTTCTTGGTATGGCAGAACAGGCAAGTGCGTGATGTGATGTGATGGCAGTGTGACTTTACCTCAACATGAGCTCGTAGCGTGTAATGGCAGCAGCGCTGGTGCAGGGGAAAACCTGACGCATGTTCTTCATCAGACACAGGCAGTGCTCTGTGTACAGCCTGAAGCTGTCTGACAGCTGCCTCTCCTGGACACAGGAAGGGCCCTCAGTTATAGCTTCAAGTACACTGGCTGTGAGACATTTTTGGCTGAACCAAAAACCTTGATGAATGTCAGTGAAGAGCTGAGCTAATGAGGTGACTGTTTCCAGCTGATGAAAGGTTTTTATCCTACTGAGAGGCCGATGGCCAAGAACCTACCAGGTCACCCCTCACAGCGGCAGGGTCCCACTCTGCATCGATGGTCCTCAGGAGGCGTAGCAGCAGGGAGTAGCACACCCTCTGGGTCCGATGGTGGCTGCTGTAGCACTGCCAGCGGCTGTGTTAAAAAACAAAACGTGCACCTTTTACTTGACGCTTAAGCTTTCATGTTTGATCTGATCAATTTTATTTCTCCATTAATACTCACATAATGGCCTGTTGGAGAGGTGAGAGATCAGTTTGCACAGCATGGTGAGCCAGTACAGTCCATGCTGGAGGACAAACTTGCCCGTTCCAATTGTAGGGCTCTCTCTACAATTATATGTGGTAGATTACCATTTAATTCAATCATACTTTGACAATTGTAAGAAGGATCTCTATGTACTCATCAAAAACATACAGTTTTACAGAATAGCAGTCATTGCATAATGCAAAATATAAGCATTACTATAAACTAATGAACTAATATACACTAAGTAAATGTAAACATAATGACAATGAAAATTAGGCGCCCAAGCATCTGCAATTTACTAACACCAGAATAACTCAACTCCAATTCTCACACATACACAAAACTGATTTCAGTGGAGTCAGAACAAAGCCTATAATTTAAAATCCCATTTAGTGGCCACTCTTGGTGGTCTGTCTGAAACAACAGGCTGAGCATGTAACTAATTGAATCAAAGGACATCCTAATAGCTTGCCGCTTTTACTGGGGTAGCAAATGGCAATAACACAAAAAGAATGCAAATTAAGGGGATTATAATAATTAATAAACTATTCAAAAGTAATTGGAATAAAAGCTGTTGCATGAGGGTACACCACTGCCAAAAATCATAAAACACTTTATGAAAGTGACTGCCTTGAATAAATATCTGGAAGAAACTCACCTTAACGTGAGTGTGCTCGTATTCCACAATCTGACTCAGCAGTTTTTTGTGAATAGAGACATTTGAGTCTTTCTTAGATAGAGCTGTGTCCCTCTGAAAGAAAAAAAAAAGATTCCTCATATCAATGCAACAAGAAGTATATTCTGTATATTGAATTACTGTTACAACGCACAAACCTGGCTGGTGAAGAGTTTCAATATCAGGTGACATTCTCCCTGAACTTTAGAAGTACTTGATCGGGGCTCCAGCTTAAACCAGGTGTCATAGCCAACAACTGGGATCTCCTGCAAGAAGGAAACCAGCCAGATTAATGGCACTGACATACTTCCAGGGAAATCTTTCACATTGCATCCTTGGGGGAATCTATTTGTGGTTGTGTTTGATTTGTCACAGCTGCTTGATGCCTCTAACAAGTGAGTTTTGGTTTGAGCTTTTACACACTCACATTCAAGGGGATGTTGATGCATCCGAGGAAGTCATCAGCGTTCTCCTCGGAACCAGATGATGCAGATCCATTGGAACGCACTGACTTTGCTATCTGCTTAAAATATCTGATAAGAAGAGACAGAGTGCAAGGAAAAGGCATTTAGCCAATGCTTTTATCCACTGTGACTTACAATTAGACTCAGCAGAATGAGTTTCATTTAATTTCTTAATGAAAGTGGGCTATTACTGAGATTTTTGTTAAAATGGAAGTTGCACATTTTCCACCACAGGATTATGATCCTTTGGTCTCTTGGTTATGATTGACATCCTCAGGCTTTCATTAGACATGTCTGCCATTTATTAGTCTCTCCATGGCCATGACTGAACTCTTTGTGTTCTATGTGTGCACAGCTTTATTGGCACTGATCTCTCCTGTATGTCAGTCTTTCTTTAAAGGTTAAAGGACAAATTAAAAATAATATCATAAAATTAAATAGTATATTGTTTGGTTGGGTCGGTTTGTATTTTTCCACAGATGTAGATAATCTAGATCTCTTCATTCATGAACTGAAACTTTTGGCCTAATTCAAATGGAAATAACCCTTTGATTGACAGGTTGACTGACTCATCTATTCAGTGCCTCAATGCCAACTGGATAAATAAATTAATTACCAACTCAATAATTGTGTGCACAATCTCAATTTGTCATTTAGTTGCGCTTCAGACCTTCAGAGAAAAGAACAACACTGCTAAAGTATTATCCAGCATTTCTTACCTAAGATGTATCTAAGACAGTTAGAACATTACACTTCATTACTTTACTGGTAATTCAGGATTACACAACATATTTTCTTCTACCTGCCCATTCCACGAAGTCCACTGACTTCATTGAGCTTTTTGCAGGCTTCAGCAACAGACACGTCATCATCGTGATCCCTGAACAAAAGAGGATCATTCAGACATTATTACAACCTCTCATCTCATGCTGGAACATATTTGTACAATTGACTGAACTGAGAAGTGAAGGAGATCTACACTCAAGAGCCACCGTAGTTCAAAAAAAGCATTAGCTTACTCAACTTGTACTTGTATAAAGAGTCAGCTCTTAACAGAGCTTTGACCAGAGGGGTGGAAAGTTTCTATAACAGCGGCATAAAGACTCCTCAAATGATTTGTTATGCAACATGGTTCACATTGAGCTCAAAATTCATTGAAGAACATAATGCTTAAAATTGCTAACTATAAGCAAAAACTATTTCTTTGAAAAACTGATTTCAGAGTGAATGTGTGCAAAATAAGAAAAGAACTTTTTTGAAACATGGGCAAAATGATTTGCCCATGTTTCAAAAAAGTTATTTTCTTATTTACGTGTGTTATCTTTTTACAGCATATGGTTTTCTTTTTCTTCTGAGGTGCAAGAAAAAATGTCAACTAATCTGACATCAAAGAAAATGTAATCCAATCTAATCTAATATAATGACATGTATTAGCATCTTGGCTTCTCAAGGTGTTCAGCCAGCTACTCCCGCCAGCTACATTCAAGGAATTCAAGGTGTTTCTGAACACTAATCTTACCATATGTCGAGATGTAAGAGGTCATTGTGAACATCATCTATTTCACTGTCAAAAAAAAAAAAAAGGAAAATCATTAATTGAATTGTCCTCTTGGTGAGTAAATACTGACAACAAACACCTCGATCCCTCCACACAGATGACAATGTGCTGCACTGGTCGCATAACTAACAGCTTTGGCCGTTAGTGTGAAACAAATGAAACTGTGAATCCTGCATGTCACACATATCATCATGTCCAGTACTCTGATGAAGGTCGACCTGCTGTACTCACAACACAAAGTGCTCGTCCCACACTGGGTTGAGAGTTTCTGGTTTGACCTCAGTCACCTGGATACACTTCGCAGGTAACACCTCCTTGGTGCTGGAACGTTTCTCCAGCTTCTCCTTTCTCTTCCTGAAGCTGAACTTTCTCTCCTTCTTCTCCTCCATCTCCCGCGGGCTCTGGCCCACCAGGATTCCCAGCATGCAGTAGGGGTCGCTGTACCCTGGCAGGACGCAGGGTGACACGTATCAAAGGTTACTGCGATTGTTCAACTTTTTATATCACCTTGAAGATGCTGTTACAGCAGCAAGAAGAGGGAAGTCTTCGGGCTCATTTATGATTACAATCAAAGTTTTGTTCAGTGAATCAATTAGAATATGGGCTCAACATTCATCTATGCAGATGTATTATAAAACTCGTATGTACATGTTTGTATTTTACTGTAAAAACTCTCTTGTTGTACACATATTTGAAATGTTCTACTTCTGATGCAAATACACAGAAAATGTAGTGAGGCATAAATTGGAAAAACAATTCCCATTTTTAGGTTTTTATTGGTAGATGATAACTGCACCTCCTGACTCTGATATCAACAGCTATTGAGAAAGTCTCTGTTGTTTTATTTCATCATGAAAAAGTCATGAGCAGGTTGGTCAGAATTCTTTCCATCATGCATTGCATTATCACTGCACAGACCTTGCTTATCATGAACAAACCTATTGCCATAAATGACTAAAAACGTTATGATGTTAGGTGAATCACTTGACAGTTTATTAGGAAATCTTTTTGATTGCATATTGCTGTTGCTGCGCAGGGCACAGTTCACAAAACTGCTTTTATAATAGAAACATAGAAAAGAAAAGTTACAGTAATGCTTTAGCTGTCTCACCATTTGCATCCTTGGCCATCAGATTCTTTGCCTTCATAACAGAAACTCTCAAAGAAAAACTGGCTCGCTGTGAAAAGAGTTCAGTAAGAAACTGTAACTGCACAATATCAAGGTCATGGACTGAGAACATCACAATGTATTTTCATAACTCTCCCGCATCTCCATTTAAATAAACATCAGCATCCTTTGTAGAGTATGGAAATAATCAATTCCAGTATGCTTCATCAGGTATTATATTCATCAGGACTTTGTGAGACATAAGGTACAAAAAGTTCCATTAGAGGAAAAATAATTATGCAATTTATTTATTTAAATGGAAGATATTGTGACTCAGGTCACAACATTGCCAGCAGTCTATCATCGGGGATCACAGTTCTTAACAGAGATATTTGAAAGGTCCCTGGCAGTCAAGTAAAAGACAAAATCATACAAAATGGGGCTACAGGTTACAGTTACAGGTTTTTCATCAGTGCCCTCCAGCTGTGGCTCTCCAGGCCATGTTTTCACCTTATTACTACTTCACAAACTACACGAGCATGAAAAACTATCAGTAAATACACTAAAACATGGTAAAATGGTAAATGGTAAATGGACCTGTACTTGTATAGCGCCTTTCTAGTCTTGCGACCACTCAAAGCGCTTTTACACTACGTGCCACATTCA